TAACAGAACATTTACTCTGCTGCCTGATTCCCTCCCAAACACACTAGCGATTCTGAAATGAAAGGACTGAATTATTGTACCAAGAAAAACTGGATGCCACTGCCTGTATCAGTTATGTAAATGTGGATTGATTCCTTCCTTCCTTCCTTCCTTCCTTCCTTCCTTCCTTCCTTCCTTCCTTCCTTCCTTCCTTCCTTCCTTCCTTCCTTCCTTCCTTCCTTCCTTCCTTCTTTCCTTCGGAAGAAAACCTATAGAATTGTAACCATGTCCTATTTTTTTCTAGACTCAAGAGCAGACAAAGCTTTGAGATTCAGTGTCCCTATTTTTCATGTTCCTGATCTTAAACTGACTTCATCTTGTTTTTCTATCCCTTTTAGCATTTTAATTAGGACTCGTGCAATTTTTGCACATTTATCTTATTGAGCCATGTCTCCTGCAAGCAATATTCCACAATGGTTTCTATTGTGGAATATTGGATACTTTTCCATTATAGCATCGGTGTATGCTCTTTTGGATTAGCTAATTACATGTTACATATGTTACATAAGTTGAAGAAATTGAATTAAAATGGATAACTGCTTAGGTAAATTTGCAATCCAAATTATTTTATCTCCATGCCAATCATAAAACATCTACTTCCTCTTCTTATGTATGGTGGTTGGAGCATAAACTTGGATGATTGCCATATTTAAGGCATGTCCACAAAAATCTGATATTATTTGGTCATTAATTGCTTTGCAGCCAAGAATCGTTCTTGCTAAATCCTATTTAAAAGCATTAGGCTAAAGTCAGACTAGGATTACAGAAAATAAAAAGGAGCAGTTCCAAGAGGGGCACAAAGACAATATTTGCTTTGATTAAAAAACAGTATGATGGAAAGAGCTACAGTCAGCACAGCACAGCACAGCACTTTTTAAAAAGTGACATTTCTGAGTGTTTAGTGGAAATCTTCATGGAAAACTCTTCTTGTACTGAAAGCTTGTAGCACAATTTATCATCAATGCAAATGGCACTGGAAGCTAGACAAACAAACACTCTGGAACTGGTTACTGAGCAAGGGGAAGCATACAGTTTGAAAAATGTCCCAGGGTCACCTTGAGGATGCTCTCCCCAGACTCTTCTCTGTGCCTGAATGGAAGTAAATCAACCTATAGCTGACTTCTCAGCACATTGTGCTGCTGTCCATGTTGGAATGGAGCCAACTCCTACACAGCAAACCTTGTGAAATGTGTTCCTATTTGTAACATCTAAGGCAATATGGATCATGTCAAATTAATTAACATACACTAAGAGTTGTACATGGAGCCTGAAGTTCATGAAAGTTTTTAGTAAGGTGATATTTTTCATATAAACATCAGATTGCATGTTTTATCCCCTAGAGAGATCAATATCCTCATAAAATGATCGGCAAACATCTATCCATGGTGAATATTTCTAATAGGGCTACAGCAGTTTTGAATCTGATCTCCCGACCTTCTGCTTCAGAGTGAATGGGTGTGAGAATGCAGAATCCTTTTGGAACCTTAAAGTAGTTGTGCCTTTTCCAAGATTATAAAAGTATCTGCAGACCCTGGAAAAGAAGACCTTTGAGAGCTTCATGTACATTTGTGATCCCATGTGCTCTATAGCACTTATTGAAGATCAAATCTGAGCATTCCTTGAAATAAACGTTTGCATCTCAATTATTGGATAGGGAACACAGAGAGGCCAGGCAAATTAGACTTCAGAATAATTTCTGCAAAGTTACTGGTTTAGAGAAACAACCACTTTTTATAGAAAAAGTTTCGAATTAATGCTTTTATGGATTTGGTGTTCTTCTAACCTGTTTAGCTAGAATATTTGCTACAAGTTAGGATAGGATTCAGCAGATCCAACATAACATCAGCAGAATTGCAGAAATTGAGGAAACGATTTTCTTGAGAAGGAAGTCTTGAGAAATTAAGAAAAACTATAAAAGAATTCAAATTTGCATAGAAAAAATGCATGCAAACAGTCAGATGTCAGAAACATGAAACTTTAAGGAACGTAATACTGGAACTTATGCTCACATCTTCATACTGTCTTCAACCACATAGAAGTTGGTTTCACAAGAGGTGATGATGGCTGCTGGAACCTTCATATATTTTATATATTTTAGCCATATACTTTAAGTATATTTTAAAAGAATGATTTGTGGAAGGTAAGGCTATCAAGTATGTAAAGAGATAGAGGGAATAACATAGAACCCTTTAAGATAAGGGAAAATAAGAGATTTATTTTGCCCAAGGAAGAGGTGGAAAGGCAAAAGCACGAGGCCCAAATGAGGCTGTACTGTCTGCAGTTAACAAGGAAAAAAGACCAGGCCGTGGGTTGCAAAGAATTCAA